GTTAATATATTCTGTAAATGAGTAGATCAATTCGGTTATGTTTCAGTTTCAAAGCTTATATCTTTTTCTCTAATAATGTGATCAATATGAAAACAGTTAAAAACAAACATTTCAGAATTTTGATTAAAATTAAATAGTTAACTATTTATAATTATGTTTAGAAAAATGTATAATGCTGGTAAACAGAATGCCTGTTTCCAACATTTTCTTTTACAGTTATTACTTATACAGTCATACCATTTCTATTTTCACTCATAGAAAATTATTACAGAAAATACAAAAAATATCATTCTCATGACAATTATAACTTTTGACAATGAAAAGTTGATTCTATAACAAGTCTGTTTTAAGAGCTTCAATTGTCTTAAAGAATACTAACTTTGATGAGAACAAGTCTTTTATATGTCTAGTCATATTGTTAGTGTTGTGAAAAAGCCAAGGTATGAAAATTTATCATTGCAATGTTTATTTGACATTCATATTTTATTAGGTTAGATATAATCAGTTATTGGCTGAGGCCTTAACTGGATTGCTGTAGACTCCGGCAATGTTGATTTCAGGAAACTTGAAAAAAGCTTTTATGGTAATTAATAGTCCAGTCATATAAAAACACTGATGATTTGATACTATATGGTAGTGTAATAACATCTGGATGTTTTTCTTTTTATTAATTTCTTTGGTTTGGACTTTCCATCCCCTAGATTTGAGCCTATACAACATTAAATAATACAGTTATTAATATCTGGAAAAAAACGGAAGATCTGTCCTCCCCCCCCCCACACACAATTTCTGCACCAGCTTATACAGTATTAAAGAATACAATTATAAATTACACACATAACACAATGTAGAATAACAGTTAATTTACACTTTATTTATTACTTGATTAGCGAGAGAGTTAGTTGGTAGTAGTTGCTATTAGCCAGTTGCCTTTCCACAAGTCAGCAGTTCGTAATTAGTGACAGTAGCAGACAATCTTAATAGCTATGCAGTAAGACAGGATGAGCAAGTTTCGTAGAAATGGAAATCAAACATCAAATCTTGAAGACCCCTCCCTAAATTATGTAACTTTGCATCTAACAACTAACAAACATGATTGCAATATTTCAATTGGATAGTTGGAAGAATTGTAAACAGAAACCCTAATTTCAATTAATTAATTATTTACACATAATTGATTTAGCCGTAACGTCAATGAATCTGTTAGTTTACACAACAATAGTCTATGTGATTGCAACTTGTACGTAATTCATTATATTGATTAAATTGCCCAGCTCTAGTAATGTCACAGCTGGTGTACCCACAACTGACAAAACTTCATCCATTTGTGATCACAGCTGGTGTACCCACAACTGACAAAACATCATCCATTTAGTGATACACAGCTGGTGTACCCACAACTGACAAAACATCATCTATTTGTGATCACAGCTGGTGTACCCACATCTGACAAAACATCATCCATTTGTGATCACAGCTGGTGTACCCACAACTGACAAAACTTCATCCATTTGTGATCACAGCTGGTGTACCCACAACTGACAAAACATCAACCATTTGTGATCATAGCTGGTGTACCCACAACTGACAAAACATCATCCATTTGTGATCACAGCTGGTGTATCAACAACTGACAAAGTTTCTGGCCAATGCTTATAAATCCCTCAACTATAGCATCACTTATATCATGTAGTTTTGTAAGTTGGTGTGGTATCTAGTAATGACAAAGTTCTGCCAGCACTAATTAAAGATTAAATTGACTAAGAAGACCTTCTTTCTTTTTACTTGTGTTTTTTATGCCCCCTGACAAATATCTCTGTGGGGTAATGATATACTGATTATCCTATTGATGAAATAATCAATAGAAACAATTCTACTTCCATAAAGGAGTTGTTAGCCAGAAGAAGTTGGAAAAGATAGTGATGAAGTATCACTGGAATCTTTGTTTTCACGTACTCTACTTACATCTTTGGAGTTAAACACATCTGAAACAAGAAATATTTTATTATAACTGGAAACAGATGTGTCATAATATGTGAATTAATAACAAGAAAGGTAATGTTTTTCAAAAACACGTAGTTCTGTATTTTTAATAGCAGTGTTCTTTGTTTAAAAATTTAGATCATTTATTGATCATTAATGTACCTTGAAAAAAAGAAAGTACAGTGGGACTCTTTTATTTAGACAAGGTTTTTGTTCTATCAGGTTTCAAGATACAGCTTTTCTTTTTCTTGCAATGACCGAAGACATGGTTCAACTTATCTAATTAGCACAAACTAGCTTGCTGAATGTTACAATTTAAAGTGGGTAATTTCATAGCGTTGATCGCGTGGTAACAGTCGTACTTGATCACAACTTAACATTTCTATTCTTATTGGTAGGTACTGTTAAGGTTACCTTCTAATGTCACAAGGCATGTGTGTGTTGGTCAGTTGACATCGTATACAGCTTATGGTCACCTTTCCAAACACTGAAAGTAAGATTATGTGATATCCATTTTCTTGTATTCACTTTTTAGATATAAAACATAAATGGACTTGGGATGTTTCTTATCATAAGAGATACAAATTTGTGTTTATTTCATTTTTATAGCCAGAAGGACTGAATATAGGAATGTTGATAGCTCCTAGTGAGTTTCTCTTTATACATTTCAAATATCCTGCTGCCTAACTGTCAGAATTTAAAAATATAATTCTCTTTTTCGCCAATTGTAAAAATAAAAGGCTTGTACTTATAGTATTCTGTGTGTGATTCACTTACAATTGTGGTGCGAGTTACTGTAATCGTTTGGTTTTCTTTCTTCTGAAGATCCTCTGTTCCTTTTGTCAAAGTGCACTCTGGCTGATTCAATTACTTTAGAATTTTGCTTTGATGGAATAAATTATTTTTCTTATCTCAATTTCTACTGTTAGACTTACCCTAACATATTAAACGTTAAGCCTATCACTTCTACGGTAGTTAACTTCTCCTTTTGTAATTTTACTTTCTTCTGCTATTATCTGTCTGCTGCTTCCCACTCATCTCACACTATTTGTATCTTTATCACCTAATAGTCTGTCTGCCTTCTATATTCTTGACGTAAATTTATTGCACACGATATTCAATATTCTCAACATCAAAGAATTATTAACAAAACTTCCTACAATCGTCAGCTTTTCACTCTTATTATAACCCAAACTAAACAATAATGAAATATTCACTCACAAAAATAAATAAATCACTAATATCTAAACTAAACAGTCTTTTATATACTAACATATATAACAGTTATTTAGTCCCCAGGCTAGATGACACTAGATACTGCTGACCTTTCATAGCTTGAACTTCTGAGATGAATCAGACATTTTACTAAAGTACAGACTTGATCTGAAAGGAATGGTTTATGAGTATAGAAGATCCAATACAAAGAACATGATAACAAAATCATAATAAAATGTAACATCATGTTTGTAATCTTATGTGTTTCAAGAGCTAATATGGATGTCAGCATAATTCTGTTACTAATTTTACATAGAAGTGTCGCATATACAGTTAGGGGTACAAAAATATGTATACTGACTTATTTACGATTTTGTTTATTCTGATTGATTTTGAAAGTTTCCAATCTGTTCTGTATGCAATGTTCTCTAAGTAAGTGAACAAATTGCTTCATTTTTAGTTTTATGTCGTTCCCACTTTTTAATTTTATCCAATTAAATAACTGACCATGATGTACAAATTATTTTTACTAGTACTGGTTTATTACAAATAAAAACAAAGGTAATAAGGCTGAGCAGAATATTTTGACAGTTGTATAGTTGATTCCTGCTATCTGTACATTCAAAGCATTGAAATAATACTATAACCGAGTAAATAAAACCTTACACCAAGTAACCTTTATGATAGCCTATTAATACTTCCTTTTCACTAACAGAACATATTCAGCTTTAGTTATTATAAAGATATAAAGTGGATGCAAGTGGAATTTTAATGAATCAAATGTTAGTGACATCAGATGATTGTAATATACATTAATTTCAAAAGAAAAGTCATTTTGTAAGGTTTTCCAAAGTTTTTGCAAACATAATGCAATTAATGTGTTTACTTGTAATATATATTTGAAGTCAATAAATAATTATAAAGTAAGTCAGTTTCAAAATTGTATATATTTTTCTCGCATTTAATCATACATTTTTTATGAATAATCTGATTTTGATAATTGTCATATATATTACATACAATGTAAATAAACATATAAAACCATCATGTACTCAGAAAACCTCAGAAAGAAATAACATGGTCTGACAAAAACAAAACAAAAAACAAGTGAACAAAATGTTATGCAGGGGAAACATCCAGTCTGTATTAGCTTTAAGATGCACATGACTAATCTTTGAGATTTTGTCTCTGTTTTAGTGTACTTTAGGTGTAACTGGTCATATCTTTGATGCTTTATTTAATCAGTTCTTTATCTTTTATGAAAAAGGGTTTTTAGCCAGTTGTTTGTGTGATGGCTAAAGAAGGCCCAGAAAAAAGGCAGAGGCTTGAAATATTGATAATGTGTGCAAAATGATAGTGTTTAATCATATAATTTACATTTAAATTGTGTTAGTAACAAAACATATTTTCAAACTTCACTGCTAAAAATGTTTATGATACAATCTCAGTTAGACACTATATTGTCAATGTGTAGATAAGTCTTTTGATATCATTAAAACAAACTTGACACATCACACACTGTGGGGGAGGAGTAAGTAAAAATGGTATGCAAGATCGTCAGTGGTCAGATGAATCTCAAATGTGGGCAAGTTTTAGGGTGTTTTAAAAGACATGGATGATAAAGAAAGTGGATTTTATGAGATTTTAAGGAGTTGAGGATAAATTATGTTTATTTTTGTTTTCTTATGTACTGTTAATTGTTATGTACTTAGAGCAGTTATTTACAATTATTTGTTTAAGTGAGAAAAAAAAATTAGTAGTACGGCCTCATGTAAGAATCTTTTTCTTTTTTTTTCCCACAGTTCACCAGCACCAGGAAGTGTCTGATGAGATGTATTCAGTTTTGCCCTGGATGGTTTTTGTTTTTCCATATCTATAACCAGAGTTTAAAAAATTGCTTATATCTCAGAAAGCAAATGAGATAATTTCAATAAAAGTGATTTTGTATAGTAGATATTTTGTATGTTCCATATTTACAGTAGTGTACAGTGATACACTTAGGACTTGTACATACACACTCTCACTCTCAAAAAGTATCTCAACATTTCATTCAATAGATCCTCTAAGAAATTGTCAACAAAGACGTCTTCACAGTCTACAGAGACCATTGACAGGTAGTTTTTTCCATTTACTAGCACAGATCATCAGTGTAGTCACCCAAGTTCTCAGAGGACCCTCCTTGAACATGACACAATAGAAGGCTTGGATTTCTACCATGTAATTATAAGGTGCGGCTCCTTAGTGACCTTGTTCTAGTCTCTAAGTCATGCCTTGCTAAAGTTTTCAATGATTGAAGAGTCTAAGCTCTGGGTTATTGCATCACCTGTTCCAGGCGGAGACCTGCTTGAATTGCCCTAGGAAATAGTCCAAATCCTTTATTGCCATTCCCTTACATGTTGGAGGTGAGCTATGTTTTGCTTCCCTCACATGTTTCTTTGGTCTTGACACAAGCCTCCCTACTTTCAATAGGCTGACCAATGATGACTGTTGAGAATATGGGGGACAAGAGTACTATATTCCAGCTCCCAGATTGTGGAACAGCAAGGTACCTGCAGTATCTCACCCAATGGTTCAACATTACTTAAGGCTCCTTTATGACTCGTGATCACCCTGGCAGTAGACCTCCCTGTTTGTAAAGGCTCAAAACTTCCCCTGAAAATACCACTTTTATCCACTTGCACCTGCCTTTCACATGCTGCTGAAAAAGCTCCTATAGTTCAACACTGTCCATCATTGCATCTCCAGTCTCTCAATTAATAATTGGTGGTACTAACCAGAGCCATGGTGGTTCTATTCTGTACAGCAACTGCCTGGGAGTCCTGTAGAGACCACCCTACTCAGTCTTAGACCCACCATAATTCATCAGGTAAAAAATTCCTTAGCTGGTTTGAATGCACAAGATAGTGGCAGTCTTCCTGCCCTTGGCTGTAGCAGCAGGGAGATGTTGATGACCTTCACAGCATGAGCAAAATTCAGATGTGCAGGAGAGAACTTTTCTTGGACCTGAAAGTTCTTTCCGACAACCACCTTCCCTGCAGCAGCCATCTCTTCTTCCTGTCTATAAGTTCTTCATTAAGACAAAACAAGACAATTGTCCAGGAAAAGACCTCTACAATAAACCAAAGTAAAATTCTGGTCATGGCACCAAACTCATCTTTTCTATCCTATGATACTCTCAGATTTCCCTCATAGTAGCCTGCAAGACCTGCAAAATAAGAAAAGGATTTGACGGATACTATTTCATGGAGCATTGCCTATATATGCTCTGCTTTTAACTGAGTCTTTACATCAAAGAAATAAACTGGACACAAATTTGCAAACAATCAATCTTTATTAACAACAAAATCAAGTTTAGCACTTGAACAAGTGCTTTTTTTGTTCCACTGGAAAAAGAGAGGGAAAGAACTTTCTTTGTGCTTTAGTACTTTCTCACTAGGGTACTTCTAGCTCACAGATACTTGAAAGAATCTTGTGCCTTGTAAGAATCACTCAATATCTAGCAATCTATATGGTGCCTTGACAAGCTTTAATAAGTCAAGGAATCTATGTTAAGTAAAGAAAATACGATAATATACACAAAGTTCTCTTCTCTTCAGACTCGCGCTCTATCCATGTGACTGACAGCCATTTACATGTCAATAAAAGATGTTACATCCTTGGGCTAACACAATTTACCATCACAGCATACATCACCATTTCTATCTATGCCACCTTTCATATTATAGCAACCTCCTTTAAAGGAGCACATGTGATGTCCTTGATGACTCATCCCATCCTGTGAATAATCAAGATTAGAGAAACTTATTAGTTTCTTGAATGGTTTTATATTAAGAAAAAACTTGAAAATTTTACCACAAGTACATTATTCATATGAAAGTTTATTCTAATCAACTGTATGATAGGTGATGGAAAAATGTTTCGATGATTCAAATACTAATTTATTGAATATTATTTTTAAGATTATCATAATCAAACAATGTGCATACATAAATTAGCTCATAATTTATTGAAAAAAACTACCTTATTAGATATAAATGGTCACAACCAAGAATTTTGTTAACAGAAATATTGTTACCTATCCTGACTAGGTTAATGGTGACACCATTTTGAAATGTGAAGTCCAGCATCACCAATAAATCCTTGTCATTTGAAAAAAAAACTACTTTATTAGATATAAATGGTCTCAACCAAGAATTCTGTCAACAGAAATATTGTTACCTATCATGACTAGGTTAATGGTGACACCATTTTGAAATGTGAAGTCCAGCATCACCAATAAATCCTTGTCACTTTTGGCCATGTTTTTAATGCCAAAATAATGTATTATAAAAAATATTTTTATAAATATCAACCTAGTTGAAACTGACTGGATATATAAAATGGAGCTGTCTTATAAACGATAAAAAAATTGACAGATGAAAAGATGTTTAACATTTTTCAAAACTGTGTCTCCCAACAAAAATTAAACAATCTAAAGAATGATAAAAATACTTAATCAAATTACATGCATTTTTTAAGTCAAAACTAAATACTATTTAATAGGTTTGTCTGGAGTTCCATGCAATTTGGTTAAGTATCACCACTATAAGAAGAAAAAAAATGGGGGGATATTACTGGCACTCCCCCAGTCTGGACAACATTAAAGTTGTCATTCACAATCATTCCAGAAGTGAAGTTTAATTTCAGTTCAATTTTGAAATTTAAATTTAAATCAATCATGTTTGGAATACTGTTTGATGACATGAATGCTGAAACACTTACAGTTAAAGAATACATTGGCATTTGGTACTTGTAGACAATACCTGAGGAAAAAAACAGAAGGAAATAAATACTTAAAAGTTATTAAGTGTAAAGGACAAAGATATTTTCCATTTTCTGTGTTGCAGAAAAACATATTTTGTTTGTACTAAAATTAGTTTAATACGTTTGCCCAGACTGTTGTACAGACACTTGAGTTTCTGCCCAGCTAAGATTTGTAGATGGGTTGTCTGGCTAAAAGCCTGTGCCATAGTATATACAAATAAAGTAAGCCACACAATCAAATATGAAAAGAATGTTATAAATAAATTATAACAACTCAATAAATAAAAAAATTGCATAGTTAAATTTGAACTTGAAGGCATTTGAAATGCATTCACAACTAATCCTCAAATATGTTTAAATACTGGATTCATTAATGTATAAAATGTAAGAACATATGATAATGAACAGAAAAACCTTTGAAAAAGGATTATGTATATCTAAACCAGAAAGACAAACTAGAAGAAAATGTCTATAAAGAAAAGAAAAAAAAATATGTCATGATACCTACAGTTTAGTCATTTCTGTGTTGAGTTGGTGGGCATAGCTTTATCATTTAACACTTTTAATGCTATAAAATCAAAGGAAATGCAAAATCTAATGTAGAAATTAGAGTTGTTTGGCATATTTCAGAAAAACCTTAGGATATGTTCCAATTTACATTAAAATAACAAATATGTATGTTTGTACTTACTATTCAAAATATTAAATATACCAAGCTAATTGTGATAACCAAAACATTACCTTTGTCTATTGCATTTCCCACTGCTCTTGAAATACTCATATATGTCAAGCTTTTAATTGCCAGAATATTATATACTGTCAAATTCTTTGATACAATAATGGCTAAAGAAAAATCTTTTTTTTACAATTTGCTTCAATCATCATTGCTATCAACTTTGGTATAATTTCTAAAATAGTAATAAGATAGAGTAATATTGATTTCAGGCAATATCTTAATAATTACTTTTTAATTTTCTACTGTATTATTATATTCTGTATAATGATTCCCTAAAAAATCATTCAATACAAGTTGCAAGGTATATGTATCAAATACATTGTTTCTATAATTTTATACAGGATATGTAAATATGTGTAGCAAACATTTTTTTTTGAAATATTTAAAACATGTTCTGCATCAACCCGAAATGTTTAACATTTTAAACTTATGGGGAAATTGAATATGCTTGAAAAACAATTTGAAACTTTTAGCAAAAATAATATGTGAAAGTATATTTTTTGTATCAAAAGTATCTAGTTCAGTGTTCTAGCATACTTTAGAGATACTGTATTAATCATGTAGCTTCACAAAATAACTTACATTTTAGCAATTTCAACAACTAATAAAATCTAGTACGTTACACATCCACAAGTTCAAGCATGTTGTATGTGGTAATTTTAAACTGGCTATACTATAGCTATGTCTATTTCATTAGAACTAAAAGGTATATAGAACTTTGCAAGGTCAGGCTTTGTTTTAACATAGTGCTGACAATAAAACATTCCATTTACATTCTATGAAAAAACACAAAAAACGAATATTTATTGTTTTAAACTTTGTTCCCACTGCAATGTGTGCAATTTTTGTTGGGTGTGTCATATTTCTCCCAAGAAAAAAAAAAGATTCAGGAATATATTTACTTTTCATTATTACAGAATGCAGTCTCTTATTCACTGAATGTCTTTTTAAGTTCAAACCTTCCAGATTTTCTTAATATCTCGAAAAATACTAAAAGAGAGTTCTGTGACTGATATCTGAAAAATATTATTAAAAATATTTTACTACAAATGATATAATTTAGAACCTCAATCCTTTCCTGATATACAAACCAAAGTAATATAATACTAATTTAATTTTGCTCCATAATTGTTTTCTGAAATGAATTGAAGTTCACCTAAAAGCATGTGAAGTTGTATTTAAATGTGGCTGTTAAAGCATGGAAAGAAAAAAAAATTTACACATGAGACAGCAAAGATTTAATGTGTGTCTGTCATTTTATCATAAGCTCATGAAATATATAAAAAATGATCAAAACATCCATCAAGCTTATGCAAAGTTGCCAAGACATAATTTACAAAGCATTTCAACTAATGCCGTTTAGCTTTTCTTTCTAGTTTCTTCTGCTTCTTCTCATCCACTTCAGGAGGTGGCTGAAAAATCCAGGGTCCCAGTATGTTGACCCAGAGTAAATAAAAGGCTCGACCTGGTGCCTAAAAAAATTATGAGAAATGTAAAAGGATACAATGAAACTCTTTTAAAATGTATGTCTAAAATTAATGTAAAATTTCAAAAGTTATAATTTTCCTACAGTGAAAATGTATTTCTGACAGTTTGTTTGTTTGTTTGTAGTTAAGCACAAATCTACACAATGGGCTATCTGTGCTCTGCCCACCACAGGTATCGAAACCCGGTTTCTAGCATTGTAATTCCACAGACATACTGCTGTGCCACTGGGGGGAATTTCTGATAGGTACTTACTTCTGCTCACACACATAGCTATTCTTGTTCAGTGCTGCCCTCTATTGCAAAAAATGTTTTGCATACCACAAGCTTTTCACTCCCATGCACTCCTGGATTCACATGGTTTAACTGATTCTCGCATGCAAATTATCATGAGACAAACCTCCTCCAATAGTAGTGTCACACACTCATGTGACTCCCTCTATGCTATTCTATCATCACTTCAAGTTTAAGCAGAAATGTAAGCACCAGTTGACAGTGGGGAGGAAGGGTGGGAATTGTGAGTGGAAGTAAGTACCTGTCAGAAATACATTTTCAGTGTAGAAAAATAACTTCTGAGAAGGTACCATACTTCTGCTCACATACATAGGTAGAATCCCACATTGAATATGTGGAGGGACCAGTGCAAATGAGAAAGTAGAAAAATCCTTCAAAAGCATCCAAAGGACACCCTAACAAGAGAACCTTCTAATAAGAGGCTTAAATGTGGGAGACTGCCTCCACTTCTGTATCAGGTATACTCTTCACCAAAGTGCAACAGATCCAGGCAGAAACTTGTGAGGAGCACATTCCAATGGACAGTGATTCTTACCACAATATATTATAACTTCAATCTCCCTGATGAACAGAATGTGGGTAAAATAAGGGATGTGCCCCAAGGTGTAAAGTGGCTATGGTGCAATGGACTGTACACAGCCAATTAACTGCATCCAAAACGTGACTGCCGGGAACCAACATCCTTACGGGGGTAGGACGAGGATCATACCATCAGTAAGTCAACTACAATCCAAAATGCAACTGCTGGGAACTGACATACATGCAGGGGTAGGAAAGAGGATCACACTGTTTTCACCTCAAGTTCAGCTGCCCAGAGGGAGAAATCCCATCACTGATCTGTGAACAGGGCAAATGTGAGCAGAGTGAAAGAACATACCTACATATTCCACTCAAATCAAACAGAGCAGAACCACTTCAAATGCAGTAACATCCTTAATATTGAGGATATCGCACGAGGAAGAAGTGGATCAACCAAAAAGTGCACCCACCATGATCCACAACACTGGGGTATTGCACTCGAGGCAAATGGAGTGATAGACCAGGGACACCCTGAACACCGTGATGATTTATGTTGATTGATTCAGCTCTGCATCCAAACCTCAACTGCCAGAAACTGACATCCATGTGGAGTTAGGATGAGGGATTCCAATCAAAGGGGTGAACTGCTTTTATGCTGGCACACTACATGTGTGAGGACATGATGTTGATTGGTTTAGCTCTAAATTCAAAACACAACTCTCAGAAGTAGGATGAGGGATCCAAATTATTATGACAACACACTCCAAAGTTACAACATGCCCTCAAACAAACCCATGCAGAGATGGAGCGTCCAATTAGAGGACATCTCATCACCTACACCAGCAGAACACCACTGCCCTATTCTCAACTGAATGGAGTCTTTATTGTTTTTTTGTATATCTCTCATTACAAAGGATACCTCCATGGTAAGTGGAAAGTGGTAAGGAATCTCTTATTCCACATGGAGAGGGGGGGGGATTGAAGAGTCTGGAGGAACATTCACACCAGAGACAGTGCAATGGGTGATCATGAAACCCTATTTTGAAAGCAGACCAAACCCAAATTAATCAATCTAAGGAATGGCAGGGATGAGCAGCAATCCCTTTCTGCTTTACATATGAAGTCCATATGTTAGTATGGTCTGGAATAAGCATATTTATGAAGCAAAGATATTGCAAGTTATAACCAACAAGTAATC